CGCGGCGCTCACCTCTCCAGACTTTGAAGTTGCGCGCCGCTGCTAAAGAGACGCGCTACCATGGAAACCAACAATCGGTGTAGCTGTATTAAAGTCCCGAGTGAAAAACAGTCGTGAGGTATAATCTGATTTACCAGAAAAATCGGGAGAAAGAGGCGGGAGTCCTCCCGCTGAAAAATAGGGCAGGGTTGCAAGTATGACACACACACACACCACCAAACAAAAACACACAACACAACACAAACCCCACCCACCACCCCACAGCCACACACACACACCACAACACACACACACACACACACAACACACACACCACAACACACACACACAACAACAACACACACACACACGGTTTTGTCATTTATAGCAAAAAGTATTTTAGCGCATGAAGGGTACTATGACTATGCTTGCACGGTCATGGTACCATAGCACCCTCCGAAGGCGCTGAAAAATAAAACTGTCAAACATCACAATAAACTGGTCAGTACTACTGCTTGACCTTTCATCTAGCAACCCACCTCACCTCTGCCCACTTTGACAACCTCGGATGGCTTAGAGTAAGAACACAGACTACAGCTACTTGCAATGGGCCCTGGTCTACAAGATACAACTACACACTCTATGGGACCCTGTACATGTCCAAAATCTCTTCCAAAGGCAAGGAATACATGATCATAACACCAGAAGGGAGCTCCACAAATCATGTAAAACCCAGATTTGGCACAAAAAAGGGGGAAATACACGTTTCGCAAAATTATGCCACATCAGGCTGGAACGCTCTTCCCACTACTGTAAAGGCAAAGTAAAGACTATACTTACCTTCAAAACCTCTCTTAAAGCAATTCGGGACGAGCATTGCAAACTGGCTCGGTAATGTTACAAATCTCAACCTGTCGTACAAGTGGAACCCTTCCCCCCCATCTATGTATATTACTCGCATTTTAGACCTCCTGTTACTAACCTGTAATATCTGTCGAGACTTGGTATCGTCTTAAATGTCCAGGTAGGATGTATCTAGCACGCCAGACACGAAATCCTACAAGCCGAAACATTGTAAATAAGCA